AGTCAAAAGTATATCATGTAAATACTAGGTAAGTTACGAATTATATAATATACTTATTTACCAATTTAAATAAAAAAAATCTTGACTTTCGTTATTTTTTGTAGAGATCTCGATAGTTTTGTCAACATGAAAACTTAAATCTTTGATTATGATTTTTCTTTTTTGGATGAATTACAAAATATTCTACATATATAGGCCATAAGAAAACACATTTCCACTTTTCGTTTTTGTTCATAACATTACAAAATTTCTCTTTTTTCTTTGAAGATAGCATCAATCTTTCCCTTTTGAATATGATTGGTTTTCTTTCGTCCTAAAAATCAATATTGTATACGGCCTCTTAAGTTATTTTAAGAAGTATATAATATACTTATTTACCAATTTAAATAAAAAAAATTCTTTGATTTTCAGGATTTTTAAAATCTTTGATAGTTTTGTCAACATCGAAACTTAATTGTTTGATTATGATTTTTCTTTTTGATGAATTTTAAACCACAAAATTTTCTACATAGGTCATAAACAACATATTTCCACTTTTCGTTTTTGTTTATAACATTACAAAATTTCTCTTTTTCTTCAAAGATAGCATCAATCTTTCCCTTTTGAATATGATTGGTTTTCTTTCACCCTAAAAATCAATATCCTAATCTCTTGTGGCAATTTTCAAAATCGTCATCATCTTACTAGCTAGATTGTCTTTCTCAAGAAGGGGAATTTTAATTAATTGTGATGCAAATTTCATTTTATTTGAATTTTAGTTGAAATACAGTTTTGATTCCTCGAGTTCTTCAAAATTTTCTATTTTAGTCTCAAGTTTTTAGAATATATATATATATATATATATATAATCAGCCATTTTCATTAACTTTTGAGTTAGAAACTAATAAAAACTGATTTATTTTTTAGGTATTTACCTAAATAGCATAAAAGAAATATGTATTTCAGAAAGTATAAAATTTTACAAAACTAATATCAAATCAAACTCAAATGGTAATTAAAAAGAAAAAAAAGGAACATACTAAGATGAGTCAAACTTATGTTATATTTGAAAAAATTGAATAATTTTGACCCTTTTTAAATACATATTAAATTTATACTATGGAGTTAAATTTATCCTTATTTCTAATTACCAATCACATTTATTTAATAGTTCATATATATCCTCAATATTAAGGAAAATACTTAGGTCTTGACTGGTGAGAACTTATCTCTATGCTCACGGCTCGAATTCTCACTCAATGGAGAGTACTGCGTATCGCCGCGACACCACACCGGGTGGAAAGGATCATTATTTTTTTAAAAAAATCTATTTTTGCATTTCTTTCTTTTAGTTATCAAATAATAATGGTGAGCACGAGATAGATGATCGCCAATCAAGACCTAAGTAATTCCCAATATTAATGCATATATATAATTGGTATAGAAATTAGAGAAAGAAGCAAGAGATTGTTCAATAATTTCAACGTTCTAAGATTGAAACATAATCTAATCTACAACTATTAGGTTTAAATTTTTTGGGTTTAGCATCAAAGAAAGAGATCATCATTAATATTCCTTAATAAAATGTAAGCGGGATAAGAGATCAAACCATAGACTTTTAAGATGGTAGTCGGTGTCTTGTCCACTCGAGCTAGGTTCAAATTGGCGTAAGAAATCATGCATTGTTCTCAATATTTTTTACAGTATCATTTTCTTCCCAATTAATATCCGAGTTCATAAATATTAAATCACTACTAAACCCAGGTGAGGACGGTAGACACTATATTTAACAATGTTTTAATATCCTTGAACAGCAAACTTATCCATCAACTGAATTTTAAATTTTTAAAGAAATGGCCCCATCATTTTCTATTTTCATGTAACTTGATAAATGTAGTTGGCTAATTAATATTACACACCACACTATAACTGATAGAATGCATACACAATAATTGATCAAACTTAGCATATACAAACAACTTTAGTGGCGTTTGGCTCACGAGTAATAATTTATATAGTTTGATGAAGCGTACAATCAAATCGGTAGGTAGACTTACTTATCGTAAGCTGTAAATTTATTCATCCTGCGCTCTCTCACCTTATATATATCTTATAAATCAAATTTAAGGATTCTACCTCAATTACCTGTACAAATACTCATAGAACTTATAAATCAAACACCAGATTCTATGAATTCTGAGTTTTCATATCATCTGGATAATCAAAACACGTGTTACACGAATCCAGGCTCCGAGTCCGAACCCGACAAAAAACTTAGAGATAGAGAGAGAGAGAGAGTAAGATTGGAGAAAATGATTGTTTGGTTGCCCTATTCAACAAGTAACTGATCTAAAGCCAAGGAGAGGCAAATAGAAGGGCATCTCAATATCTCAGGTTGTTGAAGGTTTGAAATATTGAAGCACATCAAATGCTGTCGTCATGTCATGTCATATTCCTTTTAGTTAAAACCCTTTTCTCAAAAAAAAATAAATAAAATAAAATATATACTCAAAAGTGTACTAGGAATAAAATCAAAAGATCAAAACTTTCTTCACACCCAAAAAAGTTCTTTTCTTCCCCTCCATAAAAAAAAATAAAAAAGTGGGAATTTCAAAACCCAACATAAATTAATCAATTACTTTCAAAGTTCCAACAAATCTCATGAATCTTCTGCCAAAGTTGCAATCTTTACACATTACATATGATTGAAAGTGCATGATTTGGGGTTTGAATAATCTTTGAACATAAAATAACAAGTGGGGTCTGAGAAGAATTGAATATTATTACATGGAGAGGATATTAATTGATTATTTTGGTCAAAATAAGAATTGAATTCAAGTTCTTTCGTTTGTTAGAGTTAATAATTAGTGGTGGAAACGGTGGTGTTTGGTAAGGCTATAATGGAAGGAGAAGGACTTGAATTAAGGCCATTGCTGACTTGGTCTTTTTTTCTTCCTTTTTTCCCCTCTTTTTTTTTATTTTTTATTTTTTGTTTCTCTCTCTAGATGTCTTTTTTTTCTCTCTCTCTATGAGCCATCACAATCGAACCGCCCCATATGAGTGAGCCGTGGCCCATTCCCATCCACCACTCACTCAGAACCAGACGAACCGCCACTTTCCGGCCGTCGTTTCTGCTTTCTATTTGTCTGCCGACTCTTTATTACCTCTCTCTCTCTCCTCTTTTTTTCTCTCTCTCTCTTGTTTTGTAGCGAAAGATATTTGAGTGTAGAGTGGAGGAGAGTGTTAAAAACGGACAAAAACGGCCGAGGAGACTTGACAGATATCAAGACTACGCGGCCGTCTTAGGTGAAGAGAGGGCACAGGTGTCCCAAAGTTAAATTAGCTGATAATAAACTTACGTGTGGAGTATCTTTATTTTATTATTTTTTCGCATGCAGTATTAAAATTGGCTAACAATAAACTCAGGTAGAACATACATGAATTAACATGAATTTAGAAAATAAATTGGACCGCCAAAGAGTAAAAATCAAAATTTATGCCTTTCAAATTTTAAGAACAAAATATTATAAACTTTTTTCCTCTTTTAAGTAGTTTAATTTTTAATAACTCATTAAGTATCATGCTATGTTATGTTAGTATAGTTAGAAAACAATAACACTATAAAACGACTATACTAAAAATTACTTAAGATTTTAAATTTATCTAATTTACACCGTTTAAATTTCTCAAAATTGAAACATTTGATACTTGATTTTGTAGTCTCCAAAAATTCTACACCATTTTAGAAACGTATCTTAAAAAAAGAAAACAAGAGACATGAACAGTTATCATAACACTCATATTTCAAAAAAGAAAATAGAACAACTATACTAAAAACTACCTAGAATTTACACCCTTTAAAATTTCTCAAAATTGAGACATCATATACTCAATTTTATTGTCTCCAAAATTTCTACAACCATTTTAAGAAACAATAAACATAAACCGTTAGCATAACACTTACATTTCAGAAAAACAAAACATCGAAAACGAGAAAAAAAAACAAGATTAAAGAAACGGGATCATTACCAGACAGGTCCTCCTCCGAAAAATTCTCGAGCCGTCTAGCTACATAGTGGTGGCTCGAGGAAGGATGGGGTCCACCGGCGGTGGAATTTATTGGGCAGTACAGATCCGATCAAACAGCACAGCAGAGCTCAAAAATTAATTAATAAGAGATGAGAGTGAAGTTAAAGAGGGGGGAGTTTTGACTGTCTGACCAACGACCATGACTCTGACATTGGGTTGACCTTCTGACTTTTTCATTAAATGATAATTTTTGTTCATCTGCTTGGTTTTTTGTCGGCTGCCTGAGCTTCTCTTTTTTAACACTTCAATGGGGTCTGCTTTTGGTTGTGTGTTTTGATATGTTTGTTTATAATTTTCTGTTTCTTTCATATGGTCATGGTGTGTTTAATTAAATGTGTGGGGGAGGTGAGCAGCAGGCTTCCCGTGATTGATTCTCTCTGCATTCTTTTTCTTTCTGCCACTCATTGACTTTCATAAAATCCCACATTTTCGTTATATACAAACAATTGTTACCAAGTTTTTTCATGTGATTCATCTCTCTTCTTTTTATTTTTTTGTTTCTTTCTTTCTCTCTCTTTTGATGCCTTGTGATTTCTCCATGTAATTTGTGTCTGTTTTGTTGTAATAGTGGATGACATAAGAGTAAACGAATAATTTCAATTACGTAACTCGAGTATTTTGAGAAAGTTAGATGTTTGGCTCAATGGTTGAGCTTGTTTAATAAGCCGAGTTTGTATTTGATATGTAGATTTATTTATCTTGATCAAAATTTCTATAGCACATTCCTTTATACAAATCCTTGACTTACCAATTCCAACTTTCACTAACTCATGCTTCTTACATCACCAATCTAATCCAAAAACTTAAGCCGGTGAGTTACGGTAAATTTAATCTTTTATAGATACATTACCATTCCCCGTCGTGGCCCGTAGGTTTAGAAATTTACGACATTACAGAAGTTCAAACACAAAACCTCCTACTTTAATACCATATTAAAACACCATTGAATCCTGATGGATTACGGCAGATACCTTAACAATATTCACTAAAACCAAATGAGTCAATCGTCGCCACCAAAATTACACGTATTGGTGTAGCGTCTTCAACATTTATAACCAAACCAAACATCTAATATGGCAAAATCCAACCTAGTTTCTGCACAAAAGATAGATATGGCTACAAACTTTACATAAAAACTCTCTTAAACCAGAACTCGCCATTAACTCATGACTTCCAAAAGCGGTGGTGGTAGCTCTGTTTTCATTTAATGATGGGCCAAAGCTGAACTAAAAAGCTATTCTACAAATGGCTTTCTTTTAATTTCCTTCTCACGTGCCACCTTCTACGTGTTAAATATGCAAAGCATGTCATGCACAAACACACTATGCTCCTCTTCATCACTTTTGGAATTTAGAGACCCTACATCTGGAACTGGGAAAGCCTATGGAGCCTAGACCTTCATCCAATGACCAATATCAACAAACTCGTGGCTATTTTCTGTCACAAGTCTAGAAGATTTAAGAAACAATCTGATTTCATCCTCCATTAATCAGCTTAAAACAGATATGAGTTGAAACAAACTGTGTGACATGCCTATGAACTTCAAATTCAGCTTAAATTAATGAAGCAGAAAGAATGGATTATAGAAAGAGAGTATCGATGCAAACAAACTTGCCATCTAACTTGATTCGTTTTCGGTTAGCTTCCTTTTGAGATCATTGAGGGCATTGACAACTTCTGAATCAAGATTATGCTTTAACAATTTCCCCTGGAAAGATGTCGATCTGAAAAATGAGAGCAGCGGGTTTAAGCAGTCACCACCATATACCTTCTTATTAAAGATATTTCACGTTAAAGGGTGCACAAATATGTTCCAAGCCTGTTAGCGAGTTCAATTTTACCTATCAAATAATAAACGGTACTGTTGATCCCTCAAATTAGCAAATTAAAGGTTCATATGAATAAAGTCCAGGGCGGTCTCATGCAAGGTTCATCCCGCAGGATGGGAGAGTTGGCTTTTAGGGATGGATGTGAATAAAATACACCTATTTATTGGGTGTAAGGGTTAAGATCACAACTTTGAGGGAAATTCAGCAAACTGAAAAGGAAAAAGCATCTCTCACAGTCACAGTAGATGTATAAACCTAAATTTGTATTATATGAGTTAAAATATAGGTTTGGTCCGTAAAGATTCAACCTTGTTTCTAATTTGGTCAATAAAGTTCAAAAAGTTCAATAATGAAAAATGGCACAACTCATTTCCTTGCAGTGCAATATCTATGTTCTCAAATATTCAAAATTTCTTCCTTCTCTAACTATTGGACACACTACCTTACCCTTTCTCAATTTCAACTGTTGTGTCATCTCCGTGTAATAAACTATAATTATAATTATATGTGTGTTAATCAAGATAATAAAATAGATCATGTCATTTTTTCATTAGTTTTGAACTCAAATCTTCTTTTGATGAGCTCTTTTTCATTCATTCTGAACTCAAATCTTAACAGCAAGGACTGTATGTATAAAAGTAACCAATTATATTCTATCTGCATAAATACTGAAAATTTTGCATCTTGAATAACCATACATACCTGTGTTCTTGTAACATCATTTCAACCTCCTTTTTTGATGCTTTAATCTACATTCACATAAATAATGTAAACTATAACGTGCCATATATTGCTAGTATTACCATCTTCAGTCAGAAAAAAATAGAGGCCATCCACATCTTCTCATCGTGCATTGAACAAAGCAAGTTTTCAATAGTATTGTGCTGAATAACATGTTTACTTTTAACCAGATGGAATGAATCCATGTATAATTTAGCCATATAAAATGCACAAATAATGGCGAGCCAGATTCTTGAGACAAGATAATAGGTAAAGCATCCGATTACCATCGTCCATAAACGAGTAGAGAACAAAAATGGGCAGGTTGTGTCAAGATGAACTGTAATCTCCATTAGATAAACATACTAAAATTAGGTACAACATAAACGGCCTCTTATTACCTCACTCATAGAAGATTCTTTTGTAATTACAGTATAGCCTTACTTTCTCGAGATTGGAAAGTTGTAATGTATTAGCTCTTTAGGGGAGGGCCTTCTCGCCCCCGCCCTTAGGTTTCCTTAGGTTGTTGCTCCTTTGTGATGATCTCTTTTTGATGAAGTTTGTCGTTTCTTATAAAAAAAAATGTCGAATGGGCAAGGCCTGCCTCTTCGCAATATTGAAAGGAGAACAGGTCGAATCTAAACCATTAAGCACACCCTACAAGCCTAACCCATTACGTGCAGCGCACCTCATGTTAACTACAGTGTTGGACAATCTTTTCCACATTGTCAAAAGTTTTTCGGAAGTTTCAAGGCTTAATATCAGTTATGGCAAATCAGAGATCGTTGCCTTTAATTTTGGCTGCTAGGGGCTTGGCCTCTTTCTTATTTTAGGCTTCATCTTAGTGGTATCTCTCAATCTTTCTTCTTGTGTGCCCCATCATTGAGAACTCGATGGGAAAAGAAATAATAGCACAAAGCAAATTTTAAATTCATTTCTTATAAATATAGAAAACAATATCCAAAAGAAAAAATTCTTGGAGAATAATATCTATGACATGGTGAATTAAAGACAGTGGCATCCTAGAATTAACGTTTACACGGGAAGAGACATGTTTTAAGCCATGTTAACAGTATGCACCAAATAAAATTAGATTGTTCTCACCTCAGAAACTAATGCCTTGCAACTCCAAATAAAGGCTCCCTGAAAATAAACATAATATCGTCTTTTCAGCCATAAATAGAGTAGCGATCTAAACAACCAAAATAAGTCATATACGCAAACTTACATGCATTAACCACCCCAACTACACTCTTCAAATTAAAAAATTATTAAAAAATAAAAAAGACGTTTTGGAATACAAAAGGAAATCATAGTAGAGCAATATATACTGTTCCAATAGTGTAGCAGCAAGATATACTAATAACAATGGGCGTGCAGACCAACTTATATTGTCCAAAAAAATTTTGGACAATATTTAATATCTTTAAGTAGGTGACTAGTATGGTTTGGATCTACGCCCTCTAAGTCATCTAAATTTATAGTTTGCCAATTTAGACCACAAGACAAATGAATGACAGTCTTCGTTTTTTCTCTCCATCTTTTTGGTAAGAATAATCCTCGATGGTTAAAAGCAGAGCAACAATTAAAACTTCTAAATCTGAAATTAACATTTAGCAAACAATCTGGTGCAAAATAAAAACAGAATAAGAATAATAATTAACAATACCAAAGATAACAATCTAAATAACTGATGAGAAATCCTCTACAGATCAGACCACAAATTCTTCCACATTAACAATCAATTCCGTTAGAAGATTAAAGATAAAAATTATATCCTCTGTCCATGTCATCAAAATTTAAGGCATAATACAGTGATACCCAAACAATGAGGAGATCATACTGCTCCATGGGCTGCATGCTGCTGACAGATATCAGAAGTCACTACCCAAACTTTGGGACATCCATCCTCCTTCAGAGCTACAACCTGTAACTCAAGCAAGATTTTGATAATGATAAGGAAAACCAGAAGAGTTTCAAAGACAAGGATCAAAGACATCAAGCATGGTATTTCAGAGAAAATCCAATAACTAAGGCGGGTAATAAAGCAACCAGCTAAGAGCAATTTACAGACATGATCTTGAAATAAATTGGTACGAGTTGTTTCTCATTCAAGTTGCTCCCCAAATTGAAAAAGTGATACCATGGAATCAATTATCTGGCATTGTCAACAGTGGAGGACCACCAAACATCTGTATATATTATAAATCGCAATCCCCATCCATAAGTTTTCTAGGCAAGCACAATATGGCTGAAACCCTTGCTACCCAGAAAAATGCTTCTTGCTGATTTATACTTTTTAGTAGGATACATGCTTTCTATATGTGTAGCAGAGACACATACGTAGAGAAGTAGATTTTATTGTATTGTTTTTTAACCACTGTCACAGGATCTTATTCATGAACTCTTATCTTACCTCTGTTTCAATCCACGTATCTGCACACGACTCACCTGAAAAAACCACATCAATTCTGCAAGAACGATTCTACCATTTTAAAAGTCTTAAGTGAACCAATAAACCAAAAAATCAATTTATTTCTTTTTAATTGAATAATTTGACAGCTAAGCATGCAGAGTAACAACCCATGTCAGAAAAGAGGTCTGAAGGAGTGAGTTGGGCATGAAAGTGATCGTCAGGGATGACATAACATGAGGTGTAGCATAATTCATTCTCATAAAAAAGTGCTTATTTTCCAAGGGAAAACATTTACAACACACATTGGAGAGCATCCTCAGTAATATTTGTTAATTCAATACGAAAAGTGATTCATTCTTTTAAATTATGCAAGTTTAAAATATCAAACTCAAAATCATCAGCAAGAAAAAATTGATAATTTCCATAACATAAAGTAAAATGAAAATTTGAAAATACATTTCTTTCAGGAGCTGAAAGTTTCCATGTTCTGTGCACCATTAGATGAGTCCTTAGTAGGATTTACTCCAACGGGAGACTGGGAATGCCCACTTACAAGCCCCTCAAAAAGACTCCAGGCCCCATTGATATAAGACCATGAATATTACATTCCCAGACAATTTTCATGGCCCTTGGTGCGTATATCCTCATCCTCTTGGTCACCAAGAGGTCTGAAGTCTTAAAGTGAAAATGTTTCTTGTTTGAACTTCCTGCACTCAGAACTAAAAAGGGCCGGATATAGTACAAATCATCATTTTTCTTTTTAAGTCATCTTTTAAGGTATTGTGTTCTAATTTGTATAAAAGCCTCTTAATATATTTTACCCTTAACATACTAAACAAATATGAACCATCTTTTTTCTTCATGCACTCACAGAAAATTTTTAGGAAAAATGGCCTAAGCAAGAAGATAAGGGGCAATTTCACCCTTTATTTCTTGCTGAAATTGGTCAAATTTTGTTTTCAGTGCAGCAAAAAGGGCTGGGTTATGTATGTTTCATCAACCATCCACATGATCAATATCTTCCGTACATATATCTTTTTTTCTTAGGACCCTAATTAATCATCTTCCATTTGTTCTGTATCTTAAAATTTATTCATTATCACGGCCATTAAGCTTGAAATTAACAACCATGGGAACACCAAACACTAAATGCACATCTACTGGCAGAAGATTAGCGGAAAACTGAAGATTATATAGATTAATGAGGCTGCATTTTAGATCATAAGAAGTACCCAGCAAAGTTTTCTTTGTGCGTCGGGAGTCCAGACAGCATCGCATCAAATACAACTACCACTTTCACCTCTGTAAATGTTTCAAGTATGCAATCAGGAACAATTGCAACAAAAAGTCAAAGAAGTATCCCATAAGAGTTGCTGAAAACATTAAGTAAAATCTTGGTCCATGTAAACCTACAAGAATCAGAACTTTTATACACTTAAATCTACAACTACAAGTCTACAACCCAAGGTTTGAAGGGGCAAACAACAAACCTCTCAGCATACTGAATGTAATAAGCTCGTCAATTAGCTTTTGGCGAGCCACATCAAGTCTCCCATTCATAAAATGTTTCTTCAATTTCACCCAGTAGCCACACACATTATAACCATCAACAAGCAAGACAGGGACTGCGTTGTCTATGCCCTGGTTTGTACTGTCAGGTAAATAGAAGACATTACGAGCAGCACTTCTCCCAGCAACTTTTGAGTTATGTCATGGTTGAAAGACAAATTGTTTTAAAACAAATTTGTTAAACAGATGTGCTATAGTATAGGAGATTAAGAGATTTACTAGTAAAGAGCCAATGTAGGATCGCGATAGAGATCCGTATCTCCTGGGAGGTCCTCCTTCTCTACCTTCTTCCTCCGATAACTAGTAGCAGGCTTAGGTGTGCCAGATTTTCTCTTTTGAAACTCCTAAATATCTTTGTAATATGAGATAGGACTTTAGATACTCGAATTTTTCGAATAAGTTGCAGCAGAACCAGATGGCATACCTTCCACAACCTTAGAAACTGCAAATTCTGCTTCAGATTTGACGTAATTCTCGGAGGAGGATCAGAACCACCCTGCAGCTAGAAGTCGTTTAGGTTTCGTACAAAATTATTAATCTATTCCATTTACAGAATTGAATGTACATACATAGCTAGGGCACTCCAACAATCGCCATCCACTAAAATGCCAGTGCATTTTGTGGAATTTTAAGTCAGTTTAAATGAGAAATGATATCAGAAACTTGGATTGTACGTTATCAATTTATCACCAAGTGAATAAAGCATGTACAGGCAACAAAAAGACGGCTCAACAGTCCAGCAAGGAAGAATATCTCGCAAGCTACTTCAAAAAGAAAATCGGGCTTCGACGGAAATAAATAAAGGAAAATGGTTAAGAAGCTTAATCACCGATGAAGTTTGAGGCTGCTTTTTGCTCTTTGACACTACAAGAAGCTTCTTCTTTTTCTTCTTCTTCTTCGGGGGAGAGAAAGAGGAAGTATAAGAGGAGGCAGAGTAGCAGAGGCCTGAAACTGTATTCGCCGGTGACGATGAAAACAATTTCACTGGTCCGACCACCTCCATGAATTTAAGTTGAAGAAAAGATCTCCATGACAACAGAGACTTTCAGCTTCCCTGTGGCTGGCTCGCAAGAGAAGGTACTTGCAAAAAAGGTGCGTCTCCGGTTGCTGTGGTTCACATAATGACGATGATTTTCTCCGATTGAGCTCCGCCACCAGTTGCTCCGGCTCAACTTCTCTGCTTTTCTGTGATGTTTCGTTCAGTTGCTGGTGAAATTGCGGGAAGACGATGGGTTGGCTGTCGCCATATCAGCCACACATCATTTTCTGCTTTGGTGTATTATATTTTATTTTATTTTACCAGAATTTTCTTTTTGGTAAAATTACCACATTTTATTTAATAGCCGGTCATCAATACGGAGCGGGTAAGTTTTAAATCATGTTTTAATTAGATCACAGGCTATCCACGTGAGTTCAATGATAATTAATACCTATCTTTAATAAATCATTTTCGTTATGTCTGAGACCTTCATCAAAACTGGCCATACACGTAAAAGTAATAATAGAAAAGTAAAATTATAAGTTTAGTCTCAACACTTTTAGATTGATGTCTAATAATTAAACAAAAGGTATGAATAATATGGAGGCGGTTAGATTTAACAAATTTGTCATAAATGTTAAGCAAATGTGAATGGATTCTGACCTTTGTGAAGGATTTCAAGAAAAGTAACGGTCTTTGCCGTGGATGGATTTCCACTTATTCGCCTCAAGTCAGCTTTAATCGCGACTCCTCGTCTGTTTGGTCTCCTCCCTCGGTTGAGTTAGTGAAGATCAATGTGGATGCTGCATGTAAGGAGACTTTGTTTAGAACAGGAATTGGTGTTGTTGTCAAAGATGAAAGGGGTCAAATTATTGCGGTCAAATTATTGCGGCTGTTTCTCGAAGGGTATAAGCTTACCACGATCCATTGATGGCCGAATCGTTGGCTTTACTCGAAGGTTTCCGTCTGGCGACAAGGTTGAATTTACAGTTGGTGCAGTTCGAATCCGATTCCCTCCAACTGGTTCCAATATTTGGATGAAGGATATTCGAAAATTGGCGAAGAATTTCCTTAATTTCAAATTAATTCATGTGAGACGTCTCGCAAACAGAGTCGCCCATAAGACAATGTGGCGTCAGATTCCGTTTAAGTTTTATTGAAGTCCTTTATGTCTAAAAAAAAAACAAAAAACAAAAATATAATACGATCTTAAACTTTTTAATTTTATATTTAATAAGTTCTTAATTTTATATTTAACAGGCTATGTTTAATAGAATCATTAATTTCAAAAATTCTTATCACACAAAATTGAAATAGTTAGTTACATAAATAGCATAAAACGAATGTGTATTTGAACATCTTAATTTACAGAAACTTTTTTGAATAATTCAAGGTGATAACATTACTCCAAGCTTTTACGACCTCCATTGTTTTCCCATCTTACTAAACCAGATGCCAATTCTTCCTGCAATCTTACTCTGAGAGGCCTGTAAATGGCAGCAGATGAAATGAGAGATTGGAAAATAATTTAATTAATGTATACAACTTGATTGTGGCTTCCATTTCTTGATACTCTCTAATGAACTCTAAAGTCTATAGATGAAGATCAAAAACCCCAAGTCTGCTCCATTCTCCTCCAAAATATTCCAGATAATCTGTTTCTTCCACTTTAAACAATACCTGGAGTGAGAACCTGTTTCATAATTTACCACACTGAAATCATTTCTGGTCCAACAGAAAAATGGCAACGGAATACGGTATTTATGCTCGGGTTGACTGTTCTTCGACATTGGGACTTTGCTTATCGGATTGGATTCTATGGGGCTTTCTGCCAACATATCTGTTGCTCAAGCTGTCTGTTCTTCAACGATGGGGCTTCTCTTATCGGATCGGATTCTTTCGGGTGTTCTGCCAACGAATTTTTTGCTCTTCCCACCCCCATCAACTGATTTCTTTGGAACAGCACGCTGCATGATTCTTATGGGAATTCCAACCAAATCGAAATCATCCTTCAATGATTTAGTCAAGAACCTGATGTCTGTATCTGATAGCCGCGTCTTCCCGCTGACAAAGGCGACGAAGGTAGGTGGTCTGGCCTTCACCTGCGTGAAGTACTTGACCTTTGGTTGTGCGGATTGGTCTTTCCAAGAATGTCTGCTCATTACCTGAGCAAGTTCTCTAGCTTTATACGGTGTGCTATAAATATGCTGAGAAGAAAACAAATGAGTATTTTCTACTGACCTTCCGCAACCAACGGTTAAGACGAGCCGTGGACAACCTCGAACACCATTTCTCGTATGTCTCAATAACCTGACGCATGACAGCCAGTCGACCCCTTCCTTCCAGAGCTGAAATGAATATAACTGGAATTCCTGTTACCTGGATGCTGCCGAAAAGCCATGTTAATCTAACAAGTAAATGATAGTTCTGAAGAGGAATGACTGAAATACCAATCTCCATCCTATACCTACACAATTCATAGAAGTTCTGAAGCTGTACTAAATAATTATATCCAACATTTTAGCAATTTTACTTGGTGGGAATGGTGAATAGAGTAATAGGAATGGAAATTTTCATTTCCATGGTTGTTGTTTACCAAATCAAGAAATTGAATGAGTGGAGTTCACCTTCAAACTTGAGAAATATTTTTCCAAAAATAGGAGAATCTCACTCTGTCAATAAGAAATCTCTTCATCACATTTTCCTTACCAGAAGATACAGCTAAAATCAGATAAGATGCTAAATAACCATACCTGAGGAATAACTGTTTGAATTTCTTCGGGAACAGCCTCCAAGATCTTCTCATATGATGCAAAATTTTCTTTCCCTCTCATAAGATCCATCTTGTTGACAATTACTACCAAACCACGACCTTCCTCCACCGCTCGCCTTGCAATAACCACTTCAGCATGTTTCATACTTCTTCTTTCTCTAGCAATCTGAACATTGCATAAATCACTCTCTGTCAACAGAAATGGTAAAAACAAACATCCAATGATAATCCAAACTTTTAATGACCTACTCCCATTACTGTAGTCCACAATATAGTTATTTTTCTTCCGTTGCCAAAAAAATGGAATGCAAAAAGAATATTCACCTTGTAGTTTGGTTTTACTTTATTTAAAGAAGCTTTGAAATTTTAACTTACTTTCAGCTTCTGTCAACAATCTTATAACTTTTTCGTGAAAGGAAATTGGGATGCGGGGGGGACACTAAAAGGCTCATGGATGGTCATGAAAAGTCATAGAAGATGAAGAGACTGATTTTATCGCACACCTCTTCTGCATCAAGAACCAAAGCAACCACATGAGCTCTCATCAGATTCTTGGACGATTGCATGACACTTAAGGATGCTGGTCCTTTCTCCTCCTTAGTCCTATGCAGCCAACCAGCAGTATCAACCTAAAGCATTATTATTACCAATTAACAATGAGGAATTCACAAGAAGTGCAGTAAAGAAACTGTTGTGACATAAAGGACTTAGAAACACAGATTTTATTCGGAATACAAAGCATCATAAAAGGAGATACAAGAAATAGTCAAACCACGTGCTTACCAAATATATAGTTCTATCCTCAAACTGAAATTGAGCTCTAACTGAATCCCTTGTTAAACCAGCTTCAGGACCAACCAGAACACGGTCCGACTGTAACAATGTGTTCAGCAAGGTTGACTTGCCAACATTTGGTCGTCCAACAATTGCTAACTGTAATGGCAACTTACTGTCTTGGGTGTCCTCATCCTCATTGGAGCTTGTGACCTGATGGAAGCGATCAAGACCACCATTATCTAGGAATTGTGAGAATGCACAGCTAGGTTAGAAGAGAAGAGAGGAAGAATAGTGCCAAAATTACTGTATCATCTACACATTAGACCAAAGAGGACGATGGCGGAAGATCTTAATTGTCCAACATCTAACGCCATTTGTAAAGAAGATAGCATACATTTTCCAAAAAAATTTAGCAGCAGGTATAATAGTCATCCAGAAAAATTGACAATAGTTGAATATAACAATCCAAAAGTTATACATATACATTTTGATAATGGTGACAGTATCTAAAGATTTTTAAAAAGATGAGGGTGGGGGAGTTGAAAGTAGACAGGAGCCAAGATAGATTTAATTCAAGTAGTGAACTATGCGAAGTTTCTTCCTATTTTTGAGACAAATTACAGGATGGCAAACTTGCAAAAATGAATAATGGCCTCCTCTCTCTTCAACAGCTTATACAAAATCAAGTAGAGAGCATAAGAAACAAAAGAATAAGCAAGTGCTGGAAGGATGCTAATAAATTTGGAAATAAACACGTTGATATTTTCTTCTTTCTTCCAAACCATAGGTGCCTAGGCCAGCTTACACAAACTTGATCTAATTCCTCTAAACAACTACCAAACTCCGTAATATTGGAGTCAAAGAAACTTACAATAGTTTAATATCAAGGTATAGCATTATAGTCTGACCCAAAATCTCAAAGGACATCAGGATAAGATATACAATTGTCCTCTTTGATTAACCTATGTGGTTACTTGAAATTAACCAAGATCCAAATTATATATTGATTGACACGTATATTTCTTACCATCTATAACTTTCAACATATAATTCTCAAGCACGGGTTTGATGGCACAATAAAGCTCTTGCATGCCAAGTCCGGTTTCAGCTGATATAGGTACTGGGTCTCCAAAGCCTAACCTTTGGGCTTCAAGAGCAGCAGCCAAAAGTGTGCCACTGCTATCAAAAAGCGATTCTGATTTATTCATTGCTACTATAATCTTAATATCGGGTGTATGTCTGCGCAGCCACTTCCCAACCTCCAAATCAAAGGGATGAAGACCAGCTCTAGTCACAAAAATAGCATCACAACTACTTTAAACTTCGTGACCACAATAAACCAAAAGAAAAAGACCAGTATATATTATGCATCTTGCAGTTGCATAAGACAGCAGTCATTCTTTTTTCTTGTAATGGAAAGCAATATGCCACATTCATCTTAACCAAGTTTATGAAAGAAAAACATCCACCAATCACCTTGCGTCAATGAGGAAAATTGCTAACTGAGACTTGAGAAGCACATTTCCAGTCATTCTTGCTGTTCTTTCAAGAATAGAGCCAGAAGATGCTGTTGTCTCTAAGCCAGACGAGTCCAATACTACAAACCGCAAATCTCCAAGTTTAGCAACACCTTCACGAATATCCCGAGTGACATGATCATCGGGTGTGTTGTAAACTAGAGCCTCCCTCCTCTTAATAAAGCTATAGATTAACAAAACCCCAAAAAAATTAAATCAATGATAAGAAAAACATGATGCGAAAAAAAAAGAAAAAAAAATTACTGACTTCACATTGCGCAAGAATGGGAAATTCATTAATAGGGTAATATAAGCCAGCAGACTTTACCGGTTAAATAATGCAGACTTCCCAACATTTGGGCGCCCAACAAGCACGACAGTAGGAAGCATACTAATAGAAATTTTGGTGAAATCAACTGAATTTCTATGTACACCTTGAACCTTATTACCACTAACATCACTATCCATAGCGTTATCATTTGAACGTTTCTCCGAGTTCCCATTTTCTGATAGTCCACAAAATCCCCTGGCTATACGAGCAGCAGCCAACGGAACCAACAATCTTGGGTTTGAGATACAACTATTCCAACCTAGAGAAAACAGTAGAACGCAAGAACGATGAGCAACCGTGTTAACTCTAAGTATTAGTGCTGAAAACAAACACGAACTGTGAATTATAACTATGCACAGGTCTTCGATCCCTCGTTCTAAGTACTAAACCAACACAATGAATCAGCGGAAATCTTAGGATAAACCAGGTACCTGATGTAACGAATGAATGGTTGCATTTCTCACTCCAGGGCTCGGGAAGCGAAGAAAATTTTGAAGACGTGTGTCCCTCGCTGCAGAAAACCGAGCCACTGAAAAAATTGGGCGTTACAGTACTTGAACTTGTTCTTCTACTTCTTCCACCGATACGGAAAACGCCATAGCCGATGACCCTTCGGCGATGGGAGAGCAATGGAACCCATAAGCGAGACATAGATACGTCGCGGCGGCGATCACAGTGACACCAGCCTGCAGACTATAACAAAAAAAAAATAATCAGAAGTGCAGGGGTAAAATGGTCATAGTGAATCATCCTAACATTATATTTTTTTTCCTTTCTGGTAATTTACGAATTTACGATTTTTTTTGGTTTAGTATATAGTGTATTGTCATTCGTTGAGCTGTGTTAGTTTTGACCGTTTAATAGATCACTTTGATAAATTTATAACTGTTAATTATGACTAATTGTTATTTTAAAAATTTTGGAATATGTTAAACTGTAATTTTGGAGGGTTTTTAATTAGTTTTGTTATTTACAATCATACTCAATTAGTTAAGACATATATTATCCAATCAAAAGTTAAAAGTTCGAATATGCACCTCTACTTCGTGGTTTAATTCAAAATAATAATAACAATAATAAAGTTTTGGCTTTTAATATATTGTGTCTAATCCATCTATAAAATTTTTAAATGTTTAAAAGACTATAAAGTTTTTAGATAGTTTTATTCATGAACTTGTTAGACGTAAAGTTTAACATTTTTTATTGAATATCAAAATTTAACGTCAATATACCTCGCTACTATTTAAAATATTGAAAATCTATTTAAACACAACTCTAGAAGTTTGTGAACTAAATTTGTAATTTAAGTTAAAATATCATTTTTATCTTGTATAATAATAACTCGTTATTTTTTCATTTATATACTATTAAATATTTAAATTTAGTCTCTATATTTTCAATAAATCAACCTTAAAAGCAGTCAAACTAGCATGGGTTGTTTGACCATATAAATTTCTCTTTATCGGTGTTTATTAAATAAATCTAAGAACCGTGGTTAAAAATTCTTAAAATAATTGATAATTACTATTTATACTAACAATACGCACTTGCCTTTTCAGTGCTCAAGCGTGTTTGGCTTTGACCAATCTTAGGTCCGATGAATCATTCACTATTGTATAAGTAAGTCTTAGATAAAGATGGTATCACAGTCAAGTTGGAAAATATCAAGGCAATTAAGTATGGAATCCAAATTATGAATCTTGGTCCAAATAAAAATATAAGGGACGAAATAACATTTTAAACTTTTTTCAATATAAGTCAGTTGATATTTTTTAATTCACCGTAAGAATAATAATAAAATATTTCATTCCTAAAATTGAGTAATTAGTTTAAACAATAATAAAAAATGTATATGTCTATTGAGAGATTTTCTAATATGAAAAAGGGAATTATGATAAATATAGATTTGTTTAAAATTGGATTTTGAAATGAATTATGTTCAAATTAGTTCATGAAGTCTCGAAGCCATGCCTAAACCACATTTCATCGTCGACCAGAAAGAAAAATCATCTCTAAAACCGTTCCTTATCTCTAAAAATTTCTCCTCTCCTTTTTACAAACTCAAATATTTTGGGTTTCTAGTTATAATATTTGATTGTTTAGAAGATAGGTATGAATTGAAGTACGTTTTTCATGTTGCATATCAAAAATCATATTTATTTAAAGGGACCGCGTACATATATAACCACAATATGTTTCTATGAAAAATAGTGGCAAAATACCTTCCTTGTCAGTGTACATTAATAAAGTATTTTATGAGAGATCATGCACCATTGCTCGCCAATTATCGTCAGTTGGGGTCCGATCTCACATAAAACCCCTCATGTTCCACCTGCAATTTACAAGTATCAATAGGAAATTTGTAAGGTGAGACCTCACCTCGCTGATTGCTCGCCAATTATCATCGACTGGGGTTCATCCTCACACAAAACCCACTTATGCATCAGAATTAGCACAGTTTTGGAATGAGTTAATTGACTATACTAGCTAGTGAAACTATGACTATAGAAAGTCTTACGTCCCACACATTTTATGACACTATGAATCATGTTATCTGTGTACATGCACCTCTCTGATCCATTAGCGTGAGTATTAAAAAAAAAATACTCACTCCTTCATTTCTTTTAAGAAATAGTAAAAATGTACAAGACAAGAGACGATAATGTCTGTCTATTGTGTGGTGGATTTTCGCTCCACGTTGGTTTTTAATATTTGAAGTTATTTATTTATTATGTTTTACAAACAAAGTTTTTAAATTATTTTATAACATTGTATTAGGAATGTGTATTTTCTTATTCTAAACTTTCTAAAAGGTTTTCATAATTTTGAAAGCAGGTGTGTTTGAAAGCAAGGATAGAATGTGTGGTTTTGAAAAAATAAATTTAAGTATAATTTATTTTTCTAAATCATCATCAAAATGATGCTTTAAAAATCAATTTAGAGTGATTTTAGACTTTCCTAAAACCAATGTTTTAATTTGCTAAACATAATAAATGGAAAGGAAAATGATTTTGACATGTCAATTTCAAACCCATCTAATGTTTGTTTGGGAGTGATGGTAGAATAAGTGCGTTTGAATAAATAAATTTAAATATAATTAATTTTTCAAAATTACCATATAAGTGATATTTTAAAAATCAATTGGATGGAAGTGATTTTGACAATGTTCCAAAATCGTGTCAGACACATCGTAAACATTTTAAGTCTAAGATGTCAAGTATTAAAGCATCATATCGTCCCTTTTCTAAAGGTTTGAGATTCAAACTCCTACCCTATATTGTTATAGTAAAAAAAAATAGGAAAACTGTTACAAAAATATTTTATGTATTTCAAAATATGTCACCTATTTTCAAAACTTTCAAATATAGTAAAAATTTTCAATTATATCAGTAGTATATTAGATGTATATTACATACATATCGCACAGACACTCATATCATTAGTATATTGATGTATATCACATACATATTGTAAATATATCACATACATATATCAATAGTCAAATAATCAGATATATTACAGATGTATATCATTTGAGTAAAATTAATATTTTAAAATTGAATCTCCATTTTTTTAAATGCTATTGTTAAAAAAAATTAGATGCAATTACTATTTTATAAGTATTTTTGCCATATTTTCAACGCCCAAAAAAATTATTAGATTTGCTTTTATAAATTCAAAAAATAAAATTAATATTTTGAAAGTTAAAAAACGAAAAAATATATCTCGCGAGTTATTATGAGATTTGAAAAAGAAAAAATAAAAATAAAGTAGAAGCTAGAAGAATATTTTAATGCCTTAGCAAGCATTAGCCATCAAATTTTATACCGGCTGTGTCCGTCAGTAAATTGAAATAAACTGACATTCTCTCTCCTCCCCCTGTCCTCTCTCTCTCCCGAAGTAATTTACATAGAAAAACCAACAAACCCTAAAAGTGTCCGTTCAATTTTTCTTCTTCTATGCTTCAACTACTCGTTACATAGCTCAATTCCTTCTCTTCTTCTGAAGAATCTTGCAGTTTCATTACCGGAATTCGATACTGAATCCACAATCCTCTCAGTGGGCGGCTCATCTTTGAGAGACAATGGAGGGAATGCCGCACCCAATACCCCGTACAGTGGAGGAGGTCTTCAGCGACTTTAAAGGCAGACGTGCCGGCTTGATCAAAGCCCTCACCGCTGGTCTCTTCATCTTTTTATCTTCTTCGTTTTCTACCCTTTTCTCCCTACACTCGTCTTTACTTTGTTCTGCCCTTCATGTAGATGTAGGTTGACTGTGTAGTTGTTTCCCTATGAATTCCTGCACTTTAATCCTTTTCCTTTTTCCAATTTGTCGAGTTTTTGCAGATGTTGAGAAGTTCTACCAGCAGTGCGATCCTGGTGGGTTTTCCTTTCATCTATCGCTCTCTCCATTCCTGTTGATTGTCTGAAATGT